GTGGGCTAGTCAGATTTCGTTTCAACTCCTCTAGGGCGTGTTGGCATTCTGGAGTCCATTCGAAGTTGGTTTTCCTTTTGAGTAAGGAGAAGAAATGATGGCTCCTGTCGGATGACCTTGATATGAATCTGCCCAGAGCCTCTATTCGCTCTGTCAGCCATTGCACGGCCTTTACATTATTTACCACCGTGATTTCTTTGATGGCCTTGATTTTATCGGGGTTAATCTCGATCCCCCTGTTTGATACCGTAAAGCCCAAGAATTTGCACGAACCCACTCCAAAAGCACATTTCTCGGGGTTGAGCTTCATGTTGTAACTTCTGAGGATGTCGAACGTTTCCTGCAAATGAGTCAAATGGTCCTCTGTGCGCAGGGACTCATCCTTGATGAATGCGTGTTTTATCTCAGACTGTGGTCTTCTTTTCTGCTTCACCGGTTTAAACCTGGGGTCGACACTCAGTCGGTGGGAGCTTATTTTCGGCGGAATTCATGTCATATCTAAGTGGGACCAAGCGAAACAGTCGATATTCTTAATAAAAAATTGAATGAATTATTTCCTAAGTTCGGGGGTTAATCCCGTTCCCAGGTATACCTTACAATCTGGGAGGTGTTCACTCAAAACAACTTGCTCCAAATCTTCAATAGTTGATTTTGTTGCATCCGACTCTTAGGGGGCTACGAAAGTTCGAGGAGCGAGGAAATCTTCTTCGTCATCCTCGGGGGTATGTATGCTCCTAGGCTCATCCGAGGTCGAGCGTATGGGGGTCGACGCCTCCTGGTAAACTGCGAACATTTCTTTCACCGCATGTTGTTCTCCATATATGGTCGTTATGCCATCCTTTGTCAGAAATTTTATCATCTGGTGCAGAGTCGACGGTACTACCCTCATGTTGTGTATCCACGGCCTGCCAAGCAATTCATTGTACCTCATGTCGCCATTGATGACTTGAAACTTGGTGTTCTGAACCGCACCGGACGTGTCGATCGGGAGGGTGATTTCTCCTTTTGTTACTTCGCCGGCCATGTTGAAGCCGTGGAGGACCCAGGAGGCGGGTATGATCTGATCGAGCAACCCAAGTTGTTATACTACCTCTGACCTGATTACGTTGGCCGAGCTGCCTGGATCCACGAGCACACGTTTAACTCGAATGTTGCTTAAAAGAAACGAGATTACCAGCGCATCGTTGTGTGGTTCTTCCAAGGTCTCGAGATCCTCTTCGCTGAATGCGAGGGTGTCTTCGGCCACGCGATCTCGGATCGGCTCTTCTATTGCGGCGGATATCTTTGTCCGTTTGATCATGGGCCCTTGGGGAATGTCGGTCCCTCCAATAATCATATGAACTGCCGAGGAATCTCTTTTGTTGCCCAGGTTGGATTTTGTTGAGTTTCCGCGAAACTTTTCAGCACGCTTTCTAGTGAATGCGAGGAGCGGTGTCAACGCATTGGGCGTCGCGTGAGGTCGTACCCTTGGAGGTCGGCTCCGATGCGTTCACAGGGTTCCGTGGTGGAATACCGACACCTGGAACAGCCACACCATTTTCTTTGTGGTTCTCGAGATAGTTGTTTTCACCTCTATTTACTGAGTTAGGCATTTTGACCTGAAATTGAAGATCTTGGACAAGAACAGGTGTGAAAGATAACTTGTGTTGCATAATGAAACCAGCAAGAAAATAATCACTATTATTTTTAGCCCCACGGTGGGCGCCAAACTGTTTACCGTGAAATGGTAATAACAATTTAATTTGATTATGGGATTCTAAAAATACGTGATCTATTTTTATGCTTGTTGTTAAGCAGTTGATGCTATGTGTGAGACTTAGAAACGAGATAAGAGTTAGGAATAAGGTGATAACCAAACCTATAGGTTAACAATCGGGGCCTCGAGCCTGTCGATTCGGGAGCCTCAATGTCGATTTCGGTGCTCGGCTGGGATCTATCGAAGGCAATCGATGAGCGAATAACAGTTAGAATAAGATCAATGGAGGCTCTTTATAGCCAATGATAAGCAATAAATGATGAACAATAATGAAGATAATAAATGGAAGCAATAATATCAAGAGAATGTGTTAGAGAGAGAATATTCTTATGTATTTAGTATGGAGCAACATATCCCTACAATATGGCAAGGACCCCCTTTATATAGGAAGGGGGTATCCCAACATAGTACAAACGCATTTATTACAAAGATAGAGATGGGACAGCTAGTTGACATCATGACGCGGGCTTAGACTAGCCTGACAGACTTTACCGGCTCTATCTGCACCCCTTGGGAACTCCCCTCTTTTCCAATATATTTGTTGGTCTGCATTGCCTCGAGGTCGAGCGTCGACAACCCTCGAGGGTGAACCTCGACCCCAGTCTCGGGCCTTGTGAAGTATGTCTACGAGGCATCATAATGACGGGAAATTGGACCCTCCAATTTTACCGTGCACAGAATATTTAGTAAGAGAAAATATATTAAAAAGAAATCTTATGAGTACTGTGCCAAGCGCTGGGAAAGGATGATGCCGTTGACGGAATGATATTATCGGTGGCGGTTGCAACGAACTGTTCTGTCCATCCACGGTAATTTTCATCATCCATGCTAGTCAACATAGCATGGTGGCCACGTTTGCAGAGGTTTATCATACCTCCCCGAATAATCTTTGGGGAATAAAGGTTCATCATACGAGCTAATGATAGCTCTTCCCCAGTTTCCTGACACAGGCATCGAAGGCAGGTAACTGTCCTCCATACTAAAGGGCTTGCCTGTGCCAAGCACACTTGATAGCGAAGGCAAAATTCCGCAATCACGGGATCAATCTCTCATCTCAAAGAAAATGCACCCAAAGTAAAGGTATACGTATAAATATATGTAAATCCTTCCCTGGGAAGGGTCACTCGCTCTGATACGTCATGAGCAATGATGTCCAAATCATGACAGCGGCAGTCTTCTTTCACAGTTGGAATACTAGAAGGACGGATGGAAGAAGGATACCTACTAACAGCCCATCTACGAGAGTTAGCAGTAGGAAATTTTTCTTCAAAATCCTTTGTGGTGTTAAGTTTCCTTGGGATGATGGAACCCACCGTCGGAGGAGCAGAATCCTCGATTTTGTTCTTGCCCTTTGAAGAACTAGAACGTTTTGAAGAGGAAGCCATTGGATTAGAAGGAAGGAAAGTTTTAGGTTCGAAGAGGATTAGAGAAAAGTTGGGAAATAAAGATGCAAGTTAGAAGTTTGAGAAATTATGAAGTACATAAGAGGAGGAGGAGGATGCGTATAAGTAAAGTTTTGGCGACTAAATTCATGGCCATGATACCTCGATAAACGGCAAAAGCTATACTAAATCGTGGGTTGACGCATGTTCGGAGCATTTAATGCGGAGAGACGTGCGTCTAATCAATCGTCAGAAGATTGCAGAGGGAGTTGTAGTAATTCTCGCCAAAAGAAGTATTTTTACCAACTTCCAGGTAACACAAGATTGTGTCACCGGAAAGCAGGGGGACTATCTGTATAGGGAAAAATACGACATGACACATGGCCGCTTAAAGGAAGGACACGTGAAACCCACGATGGGGATGGCCACCGAACGTAGCTATTTCTCTTGTCACCGGAAGGAATAATGATCATAAAAGGAGTATTAAATGCTTTGCGCCTATAATATTTAATACAGAATATTTTGCAGCATTAAGGACGTAGCCCGTTACAAGGAATTTGGCATTTATGTCTATCGTTACATCTTCATCAATAGCCCTCATAATTGACATTAAAGAATGGCATGATCCTAGGACCTCCTTTCCTAGACATAGCTATAAATAGGGAGCTCAGTTATCATTCTAAAGGACACGAATTTTCTGGCTGACTTACAATACGTTCTATAAAGAATTTTAATACAATTTTGCTTTCTCGCTTTTTGATCTCGTCATTATTGTGCCCGAAAACCCTGTTCCCGGACTCATCAGCTCTGCCGTTTCATCTACATTTCAAGGCTAAGTATTTTATATTTCATCAGCTATTTCGTTATTTTTTGGAACAAATTAATTCACTTGTTTAAAGACCACGAACAAATTCAACTGTATCATTTTACGGGTAAACAGACTCTAACATGTATAAAAAGGTAATTGAGAGTAAGCATTAGATTTGGGTAATTTCTTATTTAATTTGGTCAAACGGAATCAAGGCTTATCAATCTTTGTCCCAATTGTTTATAACATGGTGGTAGATGGGGTCACTGACATGATTTGGTTTGCTACTTTGTTTTTTTGTGACTTGCAATACCATATGTCATTTTGACACTGTCAAATAATTAGGACAAAATTGCATGATCTAAGCCAGTTTTCGAACTGGTAGCTAAAAAATAGCCAGTATTTGTAAAGTTATTAAAAAATTATCACTATTTTACGCGGAAATAAAATTTGAACAACAATACCTTAGCTGAAACACGGAAAATTTCAGCATAATATGCTGTTTTATGGAGCTCATGTATAAACTTTCAGTTTATTATGTTGGAACTCCAGTATATCATGAAATTCCAGCACATTATGTTGGAATCTGATATGTAAAACATTTGAACTCCAACATATTATACTGGAATTTATCCGGATTTTTAAAGGTGTTTTTGTTCACATTTTATTTTTACATGAAAAAATAGCTAAATTTCGTTTATTTTTAAAATTGTGGCTAATTTTCAATTAGTAGTTTTAAATAAGGCCATTTTTTTATTTTTCCGCAATAATTGGAGCCTTTATAGTCGATGATGTATTACAAAAAAAAACTCGGGACTGTTTCTAAAGTTGAACTCAAATGGCCTTTGCTCAACTTTTTGTAAGAGTTCCAACTAATTCTTGTTTCAATGTTTCTCAAAGACTGTTTATCAATATAGAAAAGTTTTCAAATTTTGAAATAGAGGCCACCAGTAAATTCAATTCGACGGGAAAAAAACTAAGTAAATGATTGTTGTACGTCAAACAAACTATATTCATTGCTAGAAGAGAAATCAAAGCTTATGGGAAATTTTAGACACAGAAATTGCTAGCAAAACAATATGTAAAAACTTTAAAAATCAATCCCAGCAGCTAAATACCATCATTGCCAAGATTAGAAGTTGAGTTTAACTCAAAAACATGGGGCACCGTATATGCCAAGGCTGCAATTATTTGAAGCTTTCTCTTATATCACCACTGAGCCTCAGTAGTTTTGCTGCAACTATTACTCACTTTATCATAAAGCAGTGTGTAATTTGAGCTGCTTATGTTCCTGAGATAGCAGCCTGAATAATCATCATATTTATATCTTTGTTGGCTACTCCCAACTCCACTTACTATAGACTGGTCCTTTAAAAGCATATATCCTTGTGCTTTTTGCACATTTTGAATAGAGCTAGTTGAGGTTCTATTCTTGAAACCCTTCAACCTCTTCTCATCAAATATTAAACTCACATTTGAAATAGAAACATAACTTTGATCTCCTATCTCAACACCATCAGAGTACAATTGAAACTGAAACTTTTTAAAGGATTCAAGAACATGACCAGAAAAAGACGGCGTCTTGGCATAAACTGTGTCATTAAAATCAATAGTTTGATCCACAATTTGCAAGTTCGCTTCATTTCCCATCACAATTTTGTTACTATAACTCAAATCTTGAGATGACCTTGTAGTAATTGTTCCATAAGATGATTTTACCCATCCGTTCAACGAAATCGACCTACGTGCATTCGTGACAAAGGATCCATCAAGTCCTTTAAAATTGCTTGCCAAAGAAAAGGAAAGAGGCAAATTACTAAACTCCAACAACTTCCCTTGTGTTTTTACACTCTTTTTATCCAACCAAAGATGCAAATTTGCATCAATATACCACACATTCAAAGCATTTGTGACACTGAATGAAATCTTATGGATACTTCCATCTAATATCTTTCCTAATAAAGGGGTAATTTCAATGTCATAAGAAGGAAGATCAAATGAGCCAATTCCACTAATTGGTCTCCACAATAGAGGATTAATACCACCAGTATATACCACAGTAAAAGGCCAAACTGCACCAACTACAACATCATCTACACTTACTATTACTTCCCTAAAAGCACCATTCCCCTGCATATCAGTACGATTATTCGCAGTAATATAACCATTTGGCAAATTTCCATACCAGAATTCATCATTCTCATGGAATGATACGTAAACTTCCAATAATGCCCTGTATGCATTTTGTGGGATTTTGAACTCCTTTGACTGTACATCAGTAGAATTCTCAATCTCAAACCATAGACCATCGTTTAATGGCAGATTTCTCGAAATGGGTACGATCAAATCAGCCCCATAATCAAATCCCAGTTCTTTATCAGCAGGATAGAAATGGACAAATATTTTCACATGATACACTCCAGTATATATACTATCAACAATGTTCCCTAAATAAACAGCAAGAGTTTGATTGGTCATGAGCAAAGAATAATACCTAGTAATGTCTTTCTTGACAGTCCAAACAATCCCATTAGGCCTCGGCTCAGCAGTACAACTCCTGAAAATCTCAACCCCACCAAGCCAAACACCAAAAATGCGATCAAATTGCCTTCCTTTACTCGTTGCTGTCCATTCTAGCACAATCTTGGAAAAATTCTGAGATGGACAATTTGGAGGAGGAGTGTAATTTGCTAGTACCGGTGGTTTACCATATGTATAGGCAAAGTCATGTTTGAGGACTAAGTAGGAGCAAGGTTTGGTTTTAGGTAATTTTGTAGGTTTAGTGACTTCAAAATAAGTCGTAGGAGTGTCATTCTTGGATATAGAGTCTAGTTGAGCAGTGAGTTGTGGTCTAGAGAGAGCTGCATTGTGAAGTCTTGCTGCGGAAAAGAGCGATAATTGGAGTAAACAAGTGAAAAAGAAGAAGAAAGAGATAGCCATGAATTGTTAGCCTTGTTTAATGGATATTTGGAGCAAGAAACAATATAATGTCCTATGGAAAGTGAAAATGTTTCCTAGTTTTCCTTGTTCTTTACGACTGCTTAGAAATTCACCAAAATGGATGACTTCATTCTAGTAGTATGTATTTAGCACTGATACCCAAATAAGTAAAGCAATCAAAATGAATCCCGAAATATAAGAATAACTTGCATGAAATCAGATAGTGATATAAGTCGTGAAGATCCCAAAAATTAAAGCAATTAAAATGAATCCTGAAATGACAATAGTTAGCATGAAACAAGACAGAAAATGATGAGTCATGAAAGATCCAACCGCGACGATTTGAATTCTCCTCGAAACATGTTTAATAGAGTACAAGATAACAGCTGTATGTTAGCCTTATTATCTTTTATGTTTATCTAAAATATTTCGATATCACGTTTAATATATGTCACATACTGGAATCATATACATGATGTAGAGTAAATATTTAAAACTTACAGTTAAAGAGGTTAAGGTGAACCAGATAACATCACATTAAGGTTTAAATACTAGTATTAATTAAGCAACTTTTAATTTAAAGAAAAATGATAACACTACAATATTAACAAGGGAATAGTGAAAAAAATATTTCATAATGTTTCCATTTAAATTGTCATATACGGTCACAAAACGACTAAATAAAACCATCAATGCTAGAACGGCGATTAGTATTAAGTATATCATCCGTGACAATAGCATTGGTACCTTCATTTTTTCAGCCAATTGTTCCACATCTATGGCCACAGAATCCTCGTATATTCCTTCATTTCTTTCGTTTCGTCACCTCTTCACCACAAACATGCCAACTTATACTTAAATGAGCTACAGCAACCTTAAACAACGGAATCCACCAGGCAAACCTTGATTAATCCTTCACGAGATGGTGAAATAAAAACAGAAGGGTAACACGCAAACTTTCTGGTAAAAAATCAGTGTTTCCAACGAAGGTGAACAATCACTCAGAAAATAAGGGGATGGCGAGGAATACCATCCGTTTATTTCTGCATAATACACTAATAAGGGTTGGCGCGATACAAACATACAGTGATGCAGATAATGAGGGTGATATTTCCCTTGTTATCCAGGCCCAACCTCTATTCCAAAATGAAAAGAAACGGGACGTTGTACCTCCTTTTTCTTTGGAAGTTTGGAGGATTTTGTAAAAAGCAACAAACAAATGAAATTTACATCCTGTACAGTCAGCTGCCGTCCCCTTATCTGTAATTTCTCGTATTCTTTTGAATTTATTATATAATGTCAACTAAGAGATCGGTTCAAAACAAAGAGTTGACCGGAGTCTCCATTCAAAAAGAAAAGTTCCAAAGGTACATAAGAAGACACAGATACTTCTGATGAGGCAAATCTATATGTAGGCTGCAAAATCTTGCTACCTTTGGCACATGGAATAGTTAGAAGACGCGGACCAGTTCTCATCTGCCATATCTGCAATAATAAACTCAAGTGTCAAAACAAGCATAATCTCCAATGCATGTCCATAATACAATCAGCTAGAGTTCCCATCTAATCCTTGGAAGTGCTCTTTCCAGCATAGACTAACTGTCCTTTTTCAGATCTTTCTACAATTATAAGAGATTATGGATGACAAATACACTAACATAACCATTCATTTAGATAGAAAAGTCTCAATCTTCATTTTCGAATACAGTATTATCAAGAGAAATTACTGCTCAGCAAATTTACTCGAACAATTTTTCATCAATGCAGTTTTCACAAGCAAACAACAAATCAGACAAATGTGTTTGTGGTTTACTCTAATAATCATTTTGCAAAAGGATGGTAGTCGCGGCTGTATTGAGTTACTTTAAATGAGTCTGAAGTATATAATGGAGCTGAGATGAATGAGAAGAGTGATACAGCAAGAGAGAGTAGCAACATACCTCAACAATCCCTTTACGCGGTGCATGAATCGCTAGACAGAGGCAATAATCACTCTTCATGTGTTCGCCGTAAGCATATCTAGATGTTTCAACATCCTTACCGGCAAGCATCTCGACAAATAGACAACTTGCATCACGGTAACCCTGCAAACCAATATGTTCATCATTATATCAGGCGATAAACCTGGAAAGATACCTCGTTTGCTATGGAGTATTTCAACTGAACTACTCAAAATCATTTGTTAAATCCAACTTTCCAGTCAACATTGAGATTCAGTTCTTATATAAAAGGTTGATTCAGTGAACTAATAATCAAACATTATTCTACCGCAACTACACAAGTATATTTTCTTCGTCATCTAATGATCACTTATATAACTATTCATAATTTGGATAAACCACACTAAACAATTACAAATAGGAGCATAGAACGAACCTTCCACAGACGGACCACCACAAGGGCCTGAGTGTCTAAGAGTAAGATACGACCAAGAGAATCAGTTATTGCAGCCAAAGTACCACTAGGTGATAACGTCAGCTTCTCGCCCTTTCTAGGGTGATCCTTAAAGCAAGTCAAAGGAGAAGCTGCCAAAAAAAAAAAAAGCAAATTTACAATGACATTATGTCAGCTATATTGACATCCAAAATAGATACTGGAGTATATGACAAAATCTGAAGTACAATTACGTAAAACATGGAAGGCGAAAAAGAACAGCTAAAATTTATATTATCAGGTGAATTATTGAGAACCTAGGACTTCAACTGAAAAAATAAGGAGCACTAGAAGAATCACCCAGAAGATAACTTTAGCCTTCTCCACTTCACATATAAAACCTCAATTGGAAAGCAATACGCTAGTTATTTGAGTTTTACGGCTTACCTAGAAACTATAGTGTTTATTTTACCAACCTGCATTGCCAGGTTCAGCTTGCTGACTGTCAGTCAGCACAAATTTGGAAAGTAAATTACCCAAAGCCCAAAGCAAACAAACAAAATTACCATTGTTTGGTCCAATCAATACTGACCATGTTTTCTCCAAGTCTAGAAAGATAACGAGAGTTGAACAGGTTTTTCTTGAAAGGAGTTGTCATGTACAAAGGGCAATACAACATATGGTACACCATTACACTAAACTTTTTTCTCCACCTAGTGACACAAAAGGTGTCTCCTTCTACTTGCAATAGCCTATACACCACAAAATCTGATTCACTGCAACCTATGTTGTTCGGATACCAGTGCGGGCACCCAACACGAGCACGGATCTAGAAGTCAGATTCGTCATCACCTAAATCTACGGATTGGGGGATATGGATTGGAGTATGGGTACGGGTGTTAAGATATAACCAATAATGTATATTATGACATATGTGAGTACATATATATTTTGACAATTAGTTGAAGTTATTAAATCGAAGCTAGTATAATCAAATTCATTCTAGACACTTAATAATTTATTCATGAGTTATCTCATATAGTAGCAAAGTGTTCTAGTACTTATGTGAATATATACATGAAATAAACCAAATTTCAAATTAAATACCAATCAACATATACTTCTTGGCCGTAGGTGTAGTCAAAACACCCAAGTTAGGTTGACCAAATGCAGTGCAGATCCCTCACCCATACCCAAGTTGTGTTGCATCGACACAGGTGTAGGGTTTTGAAGGATCTGAGCAACACCAAATGCAACCCTGGCATTACAAGAGCGACTGGGGACTCTGCACAAAAATGATCCCTATAAAAAAATCACTGTTGCATTGCACTGATAAATCAATTCTATCATACTATTTTCCTCATAAACATTCTCCAACTTGCATTAAAGTGCCAACTGCCGACCCCATTTTAACTTTTTCTCCAACTAGTTACAGTAGTTAAAAACAGGTTGAAACTAATGCAAAAGAAAGAGAGAGGACGTTGAAACTTTGTAACAATCGCCTATACATCTAAAATACACGAATATATTGAATGTGTTAATGAAAGTTATAATTACCTAGCACCGCGATAACAGGGACGGGGACGGGAGGGGAGAAGGTACAAGAAAGAAATACATAGAGCTAACCTAAGTTGCTCAGACACGGGTGACATGGGTGTGGATCTCGAGGACGGATCCTTCGAGATGTAAATTCTAAGATTTGGGGATACGGATCCTAATGCGGATACATGTGCGGGATCCGGCTAAAAATAATTCAAAAAAATAAAAATATAAAAATATCTCTAAATTATGAGAAATTTTGTGGAATCTGGAATACTTATATATAGCTTGTAAAGTGTGGATTTCTTTTTTGTTCTCAAGTTGTAGATAAGAAAAGGATTTATTTCCTAGATAAGGTATGCTATTTTCTTCAAATTTACCCTTGTTTTGGTTTTGATTTCGAGAATCAAATTGTATCTCGTCTCGCATTTTTCCGTCCGTTATGGTCAAAGTACCCAAATTGTTTTACCAGATCCGGTACGGATCCCATACCCACACCCATACTAGTGCCGTGCCGACACGGATGCGGCACCTAAACTGCCGTGTCGGAGCAACTTAGGAGCTAACTTTATACATAGAGAAAGAATTGATCACTTCTTAAATCTGAATTACACCAAGCAAGCCTCCACCCAAAAACTCCTACAGACTTTATAACTAACTTTTGGCAACAATACCTTGACACTGGTCAGTGTCAATTACAGCCCAGTGGCTTACAAACTACTTTCTAACTCGAAGATAAACTTGTAGAAAAGAACACCTTCTTCCAGTCTTGATCTATAGATGAAAGTTCATGGAAGCAAAGGAGAGATGGCAGGATGCATGGAAGGTGAAATATAATTTAGTATTTGACATCTAAAAGCAATGATACATGAACAACCACTACATCTATAACGACTAACTACATAGAGAGAGCAGAATAAAAAATTCTTTCAACAGATGAAGAAATACCATCTACCTCGAGCAAAAGGCTGAGGCTTTGGTTCTGGTCTTTTTGCGGGAGTTGCATCACTTCTCCATAACATTTTTGAGATAGAAGTTATTGTAGAAAAAGTTGCAGGCACAACCTTTGAGAGAATAGCCCCTACTATTGATCGGCTTCGGTCTACAGAAAGTCTTGAAAGTGTGAAGAGAAACTCAATTTAGTAAATAAAGTAAGAAATGGGAGTGAGAACAGCTTTCTAGATAGAAAATTTAAATGTGATCTTGAAAAGAACCATAAACTGTACTGAATAAAATATGCTGCAGACTAACCGATAAGCAGAAATCACAGCGTCATCTCCAACAGTGATCGCGCAATAATAACGCTGACTTGACTGCCCAACAACAAAGGCAGCTGAATTCAAATACCAGAATAACTTCAGAAAATTTCCGAAAGTCATAGGACAAAAAATAGCATCTCATTCGGGCAGTAAAAATTCATTTTTGGTGAGTGTAGAACTTTAGGTGAAAGGGTTGAGAAAACAACAAATCCCAGTAAAAACGTATAGCTTGTATAAAAGGAAGAAAAGAAAGTACTGATTTGATACAGTTAGAAATTAAATATTACCTGGATTTCCAGCAGAGGAGGGGGCATCAGACCAGTGATGGCAGCGTCAACACAAGGACCATACTTACTTACATTCCATAACTGGTATGGAAGCCTACCAAAAGTATCTATCGAATTTTCAGAATCTCTTTCATCCCAAAACTGGGAGTGTCTTTCCCGAAACCACCTCTGAAGCATATTCTGCATTTTGTTGCCAACATGAATTAGCAGTATGGCATAGAGATCCTAAACATCATGTATCAAGATCTAAATGGTGATGTAAAACTGAAAAATAGATGTTCTCATATTATAGTTGATAAATAAAAAAACTAGTGTTTCCTGTAACTGCGAGATTATCCGAGTACCTGAAAGTCAGATCCATCAAACCGAGCAATAACACCTGACATAACAACACAGACCTCTTCTGATGATGCATCTTGGGTCAAATCTCTCTTGGTTCCACGGACTCTCAATCTGAGAATCTTCCCAGGGCTTACTATCTGCCACACAAAAGTTCTCGTCAGTTTGCTAATTATCTTATGGCACAGCGAAGGACACTAGAAAGCAAACAACACATAATCTCGAACCAAAGTACACATTATCAAGGAAGACAACTCAAATGCATTGCTGAAGAATAAAGATTGCGTCTTTCCTTTCTTTATTCCCCCTATCAGTTCTTCTTATAGCAGAAAGAAGAAGATATAGCAAGTTCAATCAAATGACGGATACAGCATGTGCAATAACATCTTAATCCATTCAGGAAGCACCAACTTGCTTATCTAGTGCTTGTTTAGCTCTTTCTTTGACATTTTGTCCCATTACTATAAGTATCACTATTGTTGAACAAACGTTCTCAGAAAAAACAAAATATTACAGCCTGTTCACTGTCCATTTCTTTTTCCCTTCATAAGCCATCAACACTATCAACACATACCCAAAGCAAATCTTTTTATTGTTATTGTTATGTTAGACAACCATAATCGTTTCTCAAATAGCTTCTTCACACAACAATCAGTCCCAAATCAATTTCACAACATACATTTATATTATCACTATTATATTTATTGTTATTATTATACTCCATTGATAAAGAACACAGCAATAATTATGCTGCTTTGGCAAACTATGAACTTGGAAAAATGGTACCTGTTTGTGAATGAGATCACCACGGAGAGAGTAAGTCAACAAATAACCACGAGAAGTGCCCAAAGCGAGAACTTTGATATCATCAAAGACTAACCACGCGATCGCCGATATATACTCAGCCTCGATCGGAGAAAGTTCGGGCACGATCTTCACCCGGTTTCTAACCGGGTCGGATCCTTCGGACAAATGAAGAATGAGAACAATCGAGCGGTTGGCTAACGCGAGAGAGTGAGTATCGAGAGCGGTGAGGAGATTAGGGTTGTTTACGAGCCAACCTTCTTTGCCGGCGCCGAGCTCCGTCAAATCTTCGCAGGCTATACATCCCAGCTCCGTCGTATGGTTTCGTCGGGCCATTACGGGTCAGAAGGAAACGATTAAAATAAGATCATCGGAAATTTGTCAAATCCCGGAATATAATTGTACACTTTATCTTTGTTTATACTTAGCTTGTCTGTATATTAAGGGAAGGGAAATAAAATATTTCATAGAGGTGAAGGAAATTCACACTTGGTTCTGATAAAATGGAGTTCTAATGTATTTAATATTTTAATATAAATTAGGACATCAATTTCTTAAACTTTTAAAGTGGATTTTACATACTGCGAAAAATAGATAAAGTTACAATGATTTCTACAGTTAAGAATTTAGCAAATTTTATTGACAAAAATAATCAACTAAGATATTATTTGATCTTATTATTTGTACTTAGGATGGAATGAGTATAGAAATGAGATATTAAAAATTTATATTAAATCTTACTTTTATTTTCCCTCCTTTTCTATCAGGAGGACCATTTAAACATACATATTTGTGGGAAAAGAAATCAACTTTGATTAAAAATATTTTGGGCAAAATACAAATGAGCTGATGGGTCGAAACTAATTGCATTTACTAGTAAAAATTATATATATTGTCAAATATTATTTTGAAGTGGTTAAAAATATACATTTCTCTAAAAAAAGAATTCTCACCCTCATTTTCATCCTGACAGCGCTTTTTAAAAAAATGTCATTAAACAATTTATGATAAGAAATGTTCTCCTAGTCGAGTGATCTCCATGCTATGTCAACAAAACAATGTAATAATTCCAAAGATACCTCATAAGGATTATAGTACTCTTTCTTCCTTAAAATAACATTTTCTCAAGTTTGAAGTCATTGTTATCATATTAATAGAAAAATAAAAATCTAACATCGAAGAAATGGTTAATAATCTTTTATTAGGAGTATTTAAATAGAAGAAAATGTGATATATGCATTTTAGCGAGCGTTTAGCCATAGATTCCAAATTTATTTTGAAAAATCTGATTTGGGTAAAGTTTGATTTAAAGATGAGAATATTTTTGGGCATCAGTTTTCAAAATATATTTCCCAACTTTATTTTGAAAAAACATGTGTATTATTAGTATTGTAAATATTTTGGCCTGGTTTTGGGATTTTGCCAAAATGTAGATAAAATCTATGGCCAAACATGTGTTTGCCAAATAAAACCCAAATTTATTTTGCAAAATCTATGGCCGAACGGGTGCCTTAGTTTCAAAATTCTTACATGTAAAAATAAAAATTTCTTGAGAGATTTGACATAAAACTGAAAAGTATTTGTAACGTGCTACAAAACCATCCTCATTTTGGAAAAAAATAGTTAACCACTTCATTATGCTTCTGATTAAGTTAATTAGTTTGGAGAAAAAATCTCTACTCCCATTATCCTATAAAGCAACACAGCTCACTCCTTTGCCCATGTTGCTGTGAAAAAATGCAGAATCAGAATTTGTCCGTAAGTAAAACCCTAAACCCTACCCTTTCAACATTTCAATCACCATCTCTCGCCCAATTCGTCAACCCTCTTCGCAGAACACTACCTCAAATTCCATCCACCTTCAGAACATCAAAGCCTCTCTCTATTCACTCCCACAACCGGGAACCCATAATTTTCCGGCGAAATGACAGTCGCCGGAGGGACATCCGACCGCTTGCCGGCCGAAGCAAAGGAAAACCTGGTGGCCCATCAACAGGTCGCATCGAGGGAAGCGCCGAGTTCCGGCGACAAGCTAAGAGAAATGCTCGCCGGAAAAGCAAGAAATTAGCAGAAAGCCTTTTTTACAGGCTTAAGAACCCTCACGGAAACTACCCCGATAATTTCTCTGAAGAAGAGCTTCAAATGATTGGTTTAGGTTATGATAGAATGGTTAGGTTCATGGAAAAAGACGACCCAAATCTCAAAAACCCGTTTGATTGGTATAAATATGGTCAATTTGGCCCATATTCTTGGCGTGGAGTTGTTTTAGGTGAGCCTATTCGTGGCCGATTCTCGGACGAATGTGTATCGATGATTGGTGAAGTTAAGGACCAAGAAGAGTGGGAAAAGATAGAGCAACATGAAATGGCTCAGGAATTTCAGAATAGATTGGATGCAATGGATAAAAATGTGGGCTTTAGGTACTTTTGGGTGTTTGTTAGGCATCCTAAGTGGAGGATATCGGATTTGCCTTGGCAACAATGGACTTTGGTGTCTGAAGTTGCACTTGAAGCTGGGAATCAGAGGTTGGATAAATGGAATTTGATGGGGCGGCTCGGGAATAAGGCGAGGTCATTGATCACACAATGTGCAGCATGGATGAGGCCTGATATTGTATATGTACAGAGACCTGTGTATCAGTGTAGATTTGAACCTCAAGATGACTTCTTTAAGGCGTTGGCACCGTTGCTTGATCCAGAAAGTGAGCAGGATTTTTTGTTTGAATTGGAGGATGATAATGGGAGGGTTGAATTGTGTACTTATTTTGGTGGGTTGTGTAAGATTGTGAGAGTGAATCCTAAGGCATTTGTGGATGATGTGGTTAAAGCTTATGAGAAGTTGAATGATGAAAAGAAGTCCAAGTGCTTAGGGTTCTTGTTGAACAATCATCCTGTGATGTTGTTGCATCCTTATACGAAAGAGTGGAAGGCGAAGTTGGAGGAAATGGAGATGGGATGTGATGCACCGGATGATGATGATGATTATGGTAGTAATAACAAGGGGGAGACCGAGATAGTGGACTGGATTGAGGACGATGAAGATGGTGAAGATGGCGATGAAGATGAGGGTCAGTACGATGTGGATTTGGATCCAAGAGGAAGTGAAGATGATGATCTGGGTATCAAGGAGGATGAGGATTCAAGTCAGGAAGAGGATGCTACATTCTGGGATGAGGAATTTAAGAAGGCATTGGGTAGCAACGAGGCAATGGAGAAGTTTGCCAAGAAATATATGGAGACATCTACGAAATTTTATGAAAAGAATATAAGGGCAATGGAAGAGAAGGAAGAAGAAGCAAAGAGAAATGATGGAGATGAATTAGCTATGAGAGGTGTTAGAGCCAAAGTTAGCCCACAGGAATGGGAGAATCTTGGATTTGGTCCTTATAGAAGGAAACTTAAGAAAGGTAAAACTCCTCCTGAATTGTTCTTGCGAGCTGCAGTTAGACCATTCACTTATAAGAATCTGGTAAAGGAAATTGTTTTGACCAGACATGCAATAATAGAAGGCGAGATTGGTCAAAAGAAATGAGGTAGTTACCAGCTTTTGCAATTGGTTAGAGGACAGACAGAAGTACTCCTTGTATTTCATTGGATACATACGCAGAAAAGAATGTATTGTTACTCGGGGAGCTAGGTTATTTCTTGTATAATTTCATTTGAGGCAGAAAGCTGACTCTTCAATCTCACAAAGACTATTCTTGCTGTGACAGTCTATATTGATACGAAGTTCTGATCAGAAGTTCAGCTTGTTCATAGTATACAGGCACGAAGGCATTCACTTATCAATTACTGCCTAAGCGGAAATTTTGAGCTTCTAAAACCACTTTTAAAAATAAACTTGTTTCAAACACGATTATCCCCATTTTAACTTGAGGTTTAAAAAGTGGCTAAACACTGGATTTATAAAGATTTCTATCAAAGGGTTGATGAAATCTCTAGTCAAAAAGTAATTCAAAAGAAATTGCACTACCAACTGATCCAAACGCACTCCGCTAAACTAATCCTTTCTGCGCATGTCACGAATTTTATTTTTCGCCTCAACGTCCCATCAACCAGAAAAATTCATACTATAACGTTTAACCTATTCGTCAGTTTTGTATTTAAGAAATTAGACTACCAAACCAATTTCCAAGCAATGCATCTCTGCATAGACTTGATTCTTGAAGAATAATAGCAGAAAACAAAAATGGAAGATAATTTAAATAAGAAAAATATTCTGCAAACCAATCAAAGGTATCTAACCAAGTATAATTTACACAATGCAACCCCCATTTGTAGGGAAGGAGTTTTAGCTTGTTCTCTCCGACCTGAGCTCAGATAATCTTTTTCTACTATATTCGATGTTACACAAAAAAGGGCTCCTTCGCAAGTAAACTACTTTCCGAAGAATTCCTCTGGAACATAAAATTTTAGTCCAATGGCCTGCAAACAGAAAACAGCAGAACCCCATATTATACTTTGCATGTACTGAAGATGTGCACTTGTGGACTAATGGGGGTGCCATTTTGGGGGATGGGAAGAAAAGCGCTTTTTCCTTATAGAAGAAAAATCAACTATGCAGCTGATAATTAATGCAAAAATGTTTGTGATATGGTTAGCATTTCAAAAAGAGCTTCTGAACCATATGTAACCAAGAATCACGCACATCAATAGAGCAGTCAGTTAGGCAGGGAGGTGATCAAGTTGGCATATAAAGGAAAGTTATAAATAAGCATGCAACCAAACTCAGCATCTAATGTCAGCGAAGTAGCCGGTTAGTCAGGCACCTGCGCAAATCTAATGTCAGCATCACTATGGTCGCCTTGTCTGCCAGCAGCATCACCAACATAAAAACATCTAGAATGACATTAAGCAAAGTTCTATTAGCTTTGACAAGCATTAGAAACAATGCAAGTTAATTTTATAATTGGACTATTGAACAAGGAAGAGGATATAACTTATCCATCTCAATGGAAATTCCAAAATTGAACTGCTTTTTCATAATATTCCACATCCCTATTTTAGGTTTGCGAAAGGGATCTTCTGGCTTACTGTTACTCAAGCCACAAGCAATGAACACCTGCACCAACAGAGCTATGAAATAAGCATTATAATATACATACAGAAAAATGCTGTTGATTATTTTCTATCTGCTACTTTGGCTATTTACGAAGTTATGAAGAGATCTACTTTCCTTATCCCTCCCACACCCCACACACCCCAACACACACACACACAGAGAGACACACAAAAAACATACACACAAAAATCACAACCCATCACCAACAACCAATAAAAGCTATAAAGAGATCCTACTTCAGTGAGCCTGTGAAAAGTTCTACTTATTTGATGAAAGCAAAAAGGAGACAAATCGGAAACAAGGAAGAGATAGTGCAGGAATAGAATGAACTACTAAAAAAATTGATTTGTGAAACTAGGATCCATCAAACTAATTCCCAGAAGCATTATCGTGAAAAATAGTAATTTTAAATGAGAGCCTTGTTTTTCTTCCCCATTTTCCATTCCTCTGATGGGGGTAGGGGTAGGGGCTGGAGAAAATCACACGTGCATTAATAAGCAAATTATCAGCTACAATGAGCTCCTTCTGAAAGAGAACTAACCTTTGTAACATCTAAGAAAAAACACTAGCTGGGTACAAAATTCGGACACACACAAATAGATTTAACAACCTGAAATGGAACACCAGCAAGTTTGATAAATTGTTCAAGTCGTCCAATCTTCGAGTCCACAGCTGCCTGCCTACTTTTCTTCCACCGCTCAATATTGGATTCATTGGTAAATATTACCTGCTTGTATTAATAAAAATAAGATGGCTGATTGGCAGAGAACACAACGAACTTGTCCTCCATACTTTAAACCCCCTACCCCCCCCCCAAGTAACTTTATACTGGAACATATGAGTTATACATGTTATGAAGAGATTTTACTAGAAAAGGATGTCTACCAGCTTATAGCCGTCGTTGTACAAGCTCTGCAGCTTCTCCGGGATTGATGGATGCATCAGAGACCAAGCATCTGCACCAACTCTAAGAAAAATGGAACTCTCACCAACATGAAAAGTTTGGCTGTAAAGGTACTTGTCGAATTCCTATATATTTATGACATTGATATATCTAGTTCATCCAAAACAAAAATTCAGACACATACACACACACACAGGGGGGGAGAGGTAGGGGGAGAGAGGGGGAGGGAGGAGGGGGATGGGAGAGGGAGGGTGGGGGGAGGGGGAGGGTGTTATGTTTAGTATTCACCAGACTCTAAATAACCTCTTTTTTTGGCAACGTCACCAGACTCTATATGATGTAAAGGTAGACTTGCTTATTTGATGTCAATAGAAGGAAAAAGGTACACCTTGAAGTTACATATTTTTAAATCAATACCCCTCTGTGAGAATTTTGACTTGCTATCCACTAATACATAGGTAATTAAAACCAAAACTTAACTTCACAAAGGTGCCTGCAAAAGTTACTTTCTCCCTTGGTGAAGCCTTTTGGGTGTATGAGGACGTAACATCTGGTTAAATGAAGAAGGTAGTGACCTTTCCAGAGGCTGGGGGATCGTTATTTGCAACATAGAGGATTAGGTTTTGGCAACATTTCATTCTTATTAGAGCACTGCAGGGAAAGTGGAATATATATAAATTTATAACCATGGTGTCTGGGCCAGCTTGCATGCACCTCGACTAATCTACATGGTACGTGCTAACTCTCACCAGCATAGGTACCAGATAATTCTATCCATCAAGACTTGCAAGAAATTTCTACACATTAAATAATCTAACAAAAATAAGCAGAATAAATTCAATAGAAATAATTGGAAAAGAAAAATAATGCTAGTAGATTTCTAATCGCAACTTCACCGAATAATTCAAGACGAATAAACAAGATCTATGCTATTATGACGGCGTGAAATTGTAATCTCAAATTAGAATAATAGAATACCCATCCCATCAAGTAACATGGCACTCCACTAGGTAGAATAGTTGTGACATCCCATAAAGATTTAAATGTAAAGGGATACTACTTATTCTCCTCCACATTGTTGCTTGCTTAGCAGACTAAACAACGGTTTGCAGATGAAGGAGAAGCTCTGTGGACAAATATGATTGCAGCAAACTATGGAAGTACTGAATAGAATTGGTACACTAAAGATGTCACAACTCTTATGGAGCTTGTTTCTGGAAAAAAAATAAAGAAAGGATTGGCAGATTTCTCGCATTAGATTGGTTTCACATGGGGATGAGAAACGTATATGATTTTAGCATGCGCAAGATGCACGGAGCTACCGTAAATATTTCCACAATCGTACTAGTAAAGAGCCAATGCAACAGGATTTGATGCGAAGAAGTGCGGCTGGAATATCTTGGGACATAGCATTCAGAAGACTATCTAAGATCGGAAATGGAAGACATGGAGGAATTCCTCAATAAAATCAATATTCATGAGATTTTGGAAGAGCTCCAGCACTGCGTTGCCACTCTGCAATGGATGAGTAGATGATTGACTGTTTCTGCCTCTTCTTCACACATGTAACACCTGTTACACAGAACAAAACCTCTCTTCCGCAAGTTCTCCTGAGTTACAAAAGCTTCCTTTGCTGCAATCCAACCAAAACAGGCTACTTTAATAGGTGCATTTGACTTCCATATTGCTTTCCATGGACAATTTGATTGATAAAGCCCTTGTTGTTTTTGTGACAAGCTATAACAACTGCTGACTGTGAAAATACCATCATTACTTGCTGCACGGATTAATGAGTCTCTCCTGTTTTCCTCCAATCTAACATTATCCAATAATTGCATCGATTGAGAAAATTCATCCACTTCCCAATCATTGAGGCCCCTCCTGAAGATTAGCTGCCAGCCAATGCTTGAATAGAAGTCTGACAACAACAACAACAACAACAACAAACCCAGTATGATCCCAACAGGTGGGGTCTGGGGAGGGTAGTCTGTACGCAAACCTTACACCTACATAATGCAGGTAGAGAGGCTATTTCCAATAGACCCTCGGCTAAGTCTGAAACTCTTCCATTTTTGTTAATAGAGCAACTATATAGACCAGGAAACTTTGATCTAAGACTTCCATTTTTCAACCAAATATCAGACCAAATCAGGGTATTATTACCATTTCCAAGTTTCAATTTCACAAACTGACTATACTCATTCCAAAGATTACTAATTGTGCTCCAAACTCCCCGTTTTGAAAAAGATTTAATTGAACGAGGACCCCACATGTCCTTCATATCATACTTGGCATCTATCACATTTTCCCATAATCTATTCCCATCATAATTATATGTCCACAGCCATTTAAATAAAAGACTTTTGTTATGCATCTTTAGATTCCTCACTCCTAATCTCCATCCTTTCTTTTCTTTCATCACCTCCTGCCATTTGACCAAATGAAACTTCTTGTTATCATTATTACCTTCCCACAAAAATTTATTTCTCATAGTATTCAATTTTTTCTCCACTGATGTTGGCATTTTAAAAGAGACATTAGATAAGTAGGCAAACTATCCATCACACTATTGACCAGTGTAAGCCTACCACCAAGAGATAAATAATGTCTTTTCCATGGCACCAGTTTACTGCTACATCTATCCAAGACACATTGCCACATCTCTGCATCATTCTTTTTTGCTACAAGTGGTAGGCCCAGATAGGTGGTTGCTAGTTGCTCCACCTTACAACCCAAAACATCTGCCAGATCATCAATACAATGCTCGGTATTAATACTAAACACATTATTCTTCGCCAAGTTCACTTTCAATCTTGAGACAACTTCAAAAGCTAGTAGTACTACTCTGAGGTGTAAGAGTTAGTTCTTTTTCAGCTTCACATAATATCAATGTATCATCAGCATAGAGTATGTGTGAGATATACAGTTCTTCCCCCTCACTTTTTCTAATTTTCAATCTTCTAATCCACCCTAACTTTTCTGCTTTTAAAAGCATTCTGCTAAATATTTCCATCAACAACAAAAATGAGTAGGGGGATAGTGGATCCCCCTATCTTAGCCCCCTATGAGAATTAAAGTATCCCTGTGAACTCCCATTAATTAAAATTGAGAAGCTAACTGAGGATTTACAGAATTTTATCCACCCAATCCATCTTTCCCCAAAATTCATTTGTTTCATCAGATTCAACAAACATGACCAATTTACATGATCATAAGCCTTTTCCACATCAAGTGCAGGCCACCCCTTTAATCTTCCTCTTGAATAGATAGATATTCAAGACACTCATTGGCTACCATAGCAACATCAACAATTTGCCTTCCTCTTACAAAGGCATTCTGATTATCTGATATCAATTTTTCTATCACCATCTTTAATCGTTCAGCCATCAACTTTGCAGTTATTTTATAAACACTACCCAACAAGCCGATAGGTCTAAAATCTTTCACTTCCACTGCCCCTTTTTTCTTAGGAATAAGAGCAATGAAAGTTGAGTTTACGCTCTTGGTGAAGGTACTTTCACGATAGAACCAATCCACTGCTCTCTAGAAATCTTCCCTAACTATGTTCCAACATTTTTGAAAAAAGAACATGTTGAAAGTTGAAACCATCTGGCCCAGGTGCCTTATCCCCCTTAAATAACTTGACAACCTTTTCCACCTCCTCCACAGTAAATGGTCTCTGTATCCATTCTTTTTCATCCTCTGTAAGTTTTTCCAACTCTTCTTCTGCCCACAGTGGTCTTCAATTCTCTGATTCAGAGAACAGTTTCTCATAGAAGTTAACAATATGATCTTTGATAAGCTTTTCATCTTCCACCAATTTCCCCTCTATCACCATTTTATCGATAGTATTAAACCTCTCGTGTGCATTTGCATGTTTGTGAAAGAACTTGGTATTTCTGTCACTTGTTCAACCCATAAACATCTAGATTTTTGTCTCCAGCTAATCTCCTCTTCAATAGCAATTTCCTCCCGTTCTTTAATGATAGAAATTCTATCAGCATCATCTTGCTCATTAATCTGATTGTGTGCTCTTTCTTGGTCCAGTCTCCCCAACCTGGACATAGCCCTAGATTTCCTTTCCTCCAAGTTACCAAAAACTTCTTTATTCCACTTCTTCAAATCATTCTTTAGCAATTTCAATTTTCTTGCTAGAATCACATCAGGGCTCCCCTGAATGCAATATGAATTCCACCATTTTTCCACAAGTTCATTAAAATCCTTGTGCTCACACCACATGTTTTCAAATTTAAAATAGCCTTTCCCTTTGCTCCAATCTCCACACTCCAGTATGATAGGGCAATGATCTGATGTAACTCTAGGCAGTGCTGTTTGTTTTATGAATTTGAACTGATCGTCCCAACTCTCTGAAATTACAAATCTATCAATTCTTGAGGCACATTGATTACTATTACTTCTGAACCATGTAAAAGGACCTCCATGAAGTGGTAAATCCATCAATTCCAAATCCTGAATTGTTCTAGTAAACTCTCTCATTGCTCTTGTATTCCTAGCCCTTCCCATCTTTTCATCCTCAAATCTGACAACATTGAAATCACCTCATATAACCCATGGCATAGACACTAGTTCAGAAACTGCTCCCATCTTTCCATAAAATCCTTCTTGTTTTCCTATGGCAGTATGTTGCCCTATTTGTTTATCTTAACAGCTCCATCTTCTGGACACCACCACTTCTACCTTGTGCCCCCAGTTCCGCCCAATCAGTCCACTTCGAACCCCCGATCTGCCTGATACATGACTGATCCACTTGCTTCATTTTAGTTTCTGATAGGCATACTAAGTCTGTATTATGCTTTGTCACAAGAAGATCCACCAGCCGCCTTTTCTCTGTGTTATTTATCCCTCTAACAATCCAACAAATAATTTTTAACTTCGTTGAGAAATTAATAAGGCCTTCCTACCCTTGTTTCTCCCCACAACAAGAAAAGGATTTTCCTATAGATTATTAAGAAAGCCAAAGCTCCAAAGAAATTAATTTTTTACAAAGGGTCGCAATTTGATGCCATTCTCACAGCAACAACTTAAGAAAGAACGGCAGGTGTAAGATTGAAGAGGAAAACACAAATCATGCACTATTATTCTGTGATGTTGCTAGTACTCTATGGAGTTCTATTTCCTCACATTTTGACATAGCTTGGGTGCTTCCAGAAAAGGTGAAAGAGACTTTGACAAGTTGGAGGAGAAGCAACATCAGGAAGAGAAAGTAAAATTTGGAAAGTAATGCCTCCATGCATCTACTGAATGATTTGGAGAAAAAATATAGAATATTTTTGAAGGAATTGAAAAGCCCTAGTGGAAAATTAGAGCTCTTTACCTTCACTTTTTTTGGTTATTTGGGGGGAAAGAAGATCTCTCTGTGCATAGATAGTTGGATGCATTTCTTGGACTTCTATTATATTATTCGTGATTGTAATAAAGGCGGTATTGGGGAAAGGTAGAGATAGGCCAAAGAAGCATTGGGGAGAGGTGATTAGGTAGGACATGGCGCAACTTCAGCTGACCGAGGCCATCACTCTTGATAGGAGAGTGTGGAGGTCGAGAATTAGGGTAGTTGGTTAGTAAGTAGTCGAGCGCATCTATTTCCCATACCAGTAGTATTGATATTATTTTCATAGTTTCTTATTTGTAGATCTCTATTACTACCTACTGCTCCTTTTTCTTCTGTCCTTGGGCCGAAGGTCTATCAGGAAAGTCTCTCTACTCACACAAGGAAGAGGTAAGGTTTGCGTACACACTACCCTCCCAAAACCCCCACTTGTGGGATCACACTAGGTTTTTTGTTGTTGTTGTAATACAGGCAGTATTGTGGGGGGATTAAAAAATGTTTGACTTATCAGAAAATGACAATTCTTTTCTATCAAATGTTGTTTTCCATCCTATAGTTACTTTAAGCTTTGATCACACAACATTTAATGTTGCAATAATTTATCATTACGTCAATCTATGTGTCATAAACTCTCTCATCTCGAGAAGAGTTTTAGATAATATAAAACACAGGAAGAAGCCATACCTTTTCACAGATGTTTTGGCAAGACAACCATCAAAATCAAAGGCGGCAATTTTATGTGAAGCATGAAGCACGTCATCCTAAAAAACTCAGAAAAAAATGACATAAAAGAAAAGTCAGATCATTGAGATCACAAGCCACAGCAGTGTCAGAAAGCCTGCATGCCATGCGTGCATCTGGCTCTGCATCTCATACTCCTCCATCCCATTTTAGGTTATACTATTTAGAATAGCACAAAATTAAGTATGAAAGAGTCATAGTATGAACACTGAGCAAACTGGTTAAAATAATATGTGGAGCTGAAAAAGTGAAGCAATATGCCCAAAAAATGTCACATCAAAGCTGGAGAAGGAAATTTTTTTAAGTGTAGAATGAGAATGATGAGAGGGAGAAATTGCAGCTATCTGATGTTGGACATCAGAAAGAATTGATCTATATACTAGGACCTATATTTTAGTTAGGGAGCTACCAACATGATTAAAAAAACACAAAAGCATCCTAAGGAGAAATAGTCCAAAATACCTAAATAACAACACGCCCGCCCCACTACCGCCAACAGCAGAATGCTATCTTCATGTATTCAACCAAAAACCATATACAACATGAGTGTCAACATAATAGTCAAAGAATCAAGCATAACCTCAATAGAACTAACCTTCTCAAGATATATAATAGTTTGAAATGCCCTCCATTTTGGCGGCAATTTGGCATCCTGGATTAAGAAATAGCTCTCCATTAAAACACTGCTGCCACGTATCTAATCCATGGCCTATTCTAAGACAATATAAAACTGTAACAAGGAATAGTAGGTAGCTCAGAAAGCTAAAAAGATCATTCAATTTTCATATCTTCGAAAAAAGGGGGTAAGGGGGTCACTCAATTAGCTAATAGCTAAATCGAACAGCAACAACTTGTTAAAATATTGCCCCTGAAATGTTATTCTACGACAAATCAAAAACTATAAGGAAAAAGACACTAATAGGTACAAACTAAAATTTCCATTCACTTTTTACTTCTCTGTGATGTGGGGACGGGGGCTTACTGATTTTTTCATATCCAAGATATTTTACCTTATAAGTGGTCTTCACATCAGAAGTAGAGAAGGCAATCTCCAACTCAGCTCCCTCATCAGTGGCAGACAGCTAAAAGAGATTTTGCCATGCAAGACATATTCTTAGAAAGTTAATTTAGCTAAAAAGAGAAGGAGAGAAACACAGAGAAATGCTGCAAGAACATGGAACATATTGCTTTGCGTAACTGGAAAAACTAATCAATGAAGTCAACCATTATTTCCATATTCATTCATGGTTAACTGGAGGGATAAAGCTTATTTTAATGCCAATTTCAATGTTTTTTTTTTTTGATTTGCACCGGGTGTCCGAGTCTCTAAGAGACCCGACTAATCCCGGGGGTGCACAGGCCCTCGGCAAGGAGTTTCCCGCAAGTGCACCACGGTTAATTCAGGTTTTACCCAGTCCGATAGCCCTCAGAAATTGTTTGCACCCAGTGGGTTTCGAACTTGAGACCTTGAAAGGGAGCAAACCCCAAGGCTCAAGTCTATTGCCACAAGGCCAACCCCTGAGGGTTAATGCCAATTTCAATGTTGGATACCGAAAATGAAAAGTAGACAAGTTTTGTTGTCAGGTAAAGCCCAAAGGCTTCCCTATCCTTGTTTGGGGAGATTCCAACCATCTCTCCTTTCTACGAACACAGACAAATTTAGCTGTCAGCATTCGTAGAGCACCACAAAAATATTTGCATTCTGGACCAGCTAGATGATTTCTACATGCATGTTAATGTTTGCCCTGACAGGTGCAAACAAAGTTCAGAAAGACAAAAATGTATATGTTTCCTGATTACTCTCCCATCTTTCCCAATATCCTGTTGACATGTCATAGATGATGGAGCTTTAGTTTCACTAAACAAGTTGTGAAACTAAAATGATACAAGTTGTGGCTTCTAGTTGCCTTTTAATCTTTATTTGATAACGGAGAAATCCCCAAAGGGCCAATGGTACACGGCTTGAAACTCGGTAGATAATGGGATTGCCCCTTTACCCTTATCAACTTAATACCAGGCTTTTGTATACGGCAGGGTTCGAATCCATGATTTGCGCCTAACCAACACATCACTTGTTTCCCTCTTACCACTAAACCAACGCCCTGGGGTCTCTAGTTTCCTTTTAATCTAAAAAGCATCTATTGGAAATTTCAAGTGGAGACTGCAATATTTACCTTTGGTCGCTTTTGCTTGCTTTGCTCATGCTCTGATTCTTCCTTCTCAATTATTTTACAAACCAGAAGCAGGAAATGAGTGAGATTAAATAAGTTAGCAGCAGGCAACACCAGATTCACTAGCACTTACCTTCACCTGTGCAGATGTTTCCTTTTGTTTTCTGTCAATCCCATCTGTGTCTGCATCAGAAACCTGCGAATTAATTCCTTCATTGTTAGCACGAGAGAAGTTTCTACAAACTGACTTACTGGGCAGCTCAGCTTTAAGAAGTGGCAAAGCTTCAAACTTCAGGAAGTAAGAGCAAAAGGCGAAAAGAGTTGGGAACTCATCTCTAGTATGACATAAGTTGAAACATTCCTCAAAAAAAGAAACCAGAAAAGGATTTGAAGCGCAAATTAGCCAAACTCATGTTCTTCAGATTTTAAATGGTGGGAATTATAAGGGAGAAAAGTTCAGCCTATCCAAATTCGGAAAGACCAAGCTGCTAGTTGAGCTACTCCACTTTACATATTACCATAACAAGCGTTTTATACTTAAACTGAAAATGCCTAACAGGATGTAAACATTAAATGAGACTGCACCTTCTGCGAAGCTGAAAGCTCTTTGTTAATCAATTTCTCCAAAGCTTCTTTGTCATTGCTCTGCAAGAAATCAGACAGACAAACTTAGCTACAACGAATAATACTATCACTTTAACGAGAAACCTGATAGTCAAATAAAACCAATGCACTATTGTTTATCGAGATGGCAAGAAAAGGCGGAAACATAGTTGATCTAAGTCAGGTGGTGCGGAATACCACCATGTCCACAACTTTCTGAATCACTTTGCCTACTAAGAACATATTTTTGAAAAAAAATTGTACGAAGCTCTAGCTGAAGGCAGTTTGGCCCATGCTCACCTATACATACAACTAAAAAAAAAACTTTTTTTCTTTTCTTTTTCGATGAGAATGGACAACAAAACAGAGCTAATTATGCAATTTGAAAACAATTGTGTTTGAATTAAATTTTTTTAAGAAAAAATTGACTTCTAGTATCCATTTTTTATCTCCAAAGTCAAAAACAGCACTATTGTTGGTTTGTAGGCTGCAAAGGTCAAACAGAATTTCAAGTTAAAAAAAAAACTTCTGCATCTTGCAAAATTTTGAAATTTGAAACATACACTGTTTTGCAAAACAATTTTCATTTTTTTTTGGCAATTAAAGAAATTTTATTAATTACCAAGTATAACTGCACAAAACAATGCAAACTAACCAGTTCACTTTTCATGAAATAACAGCCCCATCCGCCCAGTATATCACCCTATTTCCTATCTTCCCAGGAGAACCAATTTCCTCTATTATAAGGATCTCACAAAACCAAAAACTTTTCGGCTGTGCCTAACTCTTATACATACAGCAGTCTTCAGTTCATGTAGCATGTCCCCCATTGTTTTTGTTCTATTCTGATATAGCCTAGCATTTCTTTCTATCCAGATGTCATATATAGCAGTTGCGAAGCAGGCTTTGAGTATAACAATTTTCACTTTTTGCAGAAGCTGATGTCAAACAAGCACAATACTTTTTCAAAAATGTAAGTTTAAGACAAGTTCTGTATTAGATAAAAGTACTACAAATCAAAATTGTCATAGTAAGAAAATATTTTCAAAATGTTTGAAAATTTCAGCAAATGAAATGATTAAATAATAATTGTAAAGTTGCCCGAGTGTGTGGTTCCATTCCTTCATCTTCTTCACTACTTGAACAAGCTTGACGGAGTTAAGCTGCATGTGGAAAATCTTTTGTCTAAATCAATCAAGAATGCCTCGACTAACTGAAGTATTTTTGCCCTTGTCAGTAATCATAAATGCGTTTTTGGTGAACAGCGAGAATACATTCCAAATAAAGAATCCAGCAGAAACCTCACATGCATAAAGTGCTTGAAACAACAAGACAACGCATGAAATAAAAGTTCTTTGTTCAATTTATACCTGGAGTGATGAAAATCCAGTGATATCTTCCGCAGAGGAAACAAAATCAGAATTGAAGGGAAAACAATCAATGTGATGCCACTTCGTCTGGTCAAAACCTTGAGCGTGTTTCGTCACTAAACCCAGCCTCACTGATTTCACGGGAATTTTGTTGTCGCATTTCTTGCATGAGGACCGACCTGATTTCGCGTACTCCACTGTGACTTTCGCGGAAGAAGCCATTGGAGAAAGGAATAGAAGAAGATATTTAGGGTTTGAATTGTTTTTAAAAGGAATTTTGAAGAACCTGTGGATGCTTATGCTTGGCATTAGGACTTAGGAGTACATATTGGAGGTTCTAGGGATTGCTTTTTCCCGCCATTGAATTATTCCCAACTTCTCATAAGAGACATTTTGGTCTATGGAAACGTTTTTGTTTTGTTGTTCGTTTTAATTTGTACTCCTATTGTTTTTTTATGGGTTTTTTTTCTTATTTGTAAGAATTGTTATTAGATTGGGAAATTGTCCCAAAACAGTGCTCAAAATTAAACACCTTTTGGGTCAGAATTATGTTACAAAATTGGCTTTTATTTATCTTTATTGACCAAAAAAAGTTATTTCTCTAATTGCACTCATTATCCAAATTTTTCACGAATCCAACACCTTACTTAAAATTAAACACCTTTTTTCTAATCTCTTTGTATACAAGTGATTTACCTGAAGTAACACGTTATACGAGAAACTTTGTTTGAAATGAATTATTTTTAGAAAATAAATTACACAACAAAAAAATTTTAAACTTTAGTTGAGTTATTATACTTTTTATTCTTTTATATGGCACCGATTTTATTTAGGAACTAAATATTTTTCTTTACTGCAATATGTTCATATATTTTTAAAATACCTTAATTGTGTGAAATCTTAATAAGTATAACTTTAAACAGTTATAGTTTTTTAAAATTTAGGATTGAGAATTGAGTAGAATTTAGACGTTTGACCTGATGGTAAATGAAGTGAGTGCAACTTGTATGCGGTCGAAATCAGGTATGATCGATTTTTCGGGTTCAAGGGGTCGTCTTAAGCCCGAGTTCAGTCAAGGTCGAGTTCGAGCTCGAGTTTGGTCCATACCCGAGCTCGAAGAAAGAATGCAATGCCCGAGGATCGAAGTATGATGAGTATCGAAGCCGAGTATGCTCGACCCCGAAATAATGCCGTTATGAATTTATAACAGAATGAGCAAGATTCCTGCCACGTCCCTAAGATCGTGGCGTAAATCCCGGAGCAGATTTGTACGAATCCGTACTAGGCGTTTAGACAGTTGTACCAATAAGATTCTTTAATGTAAATGGAAATGTAACTTATTTAGGGTTCCCCTATTATATAAAAGGGACCCCAATCATTTGTAAATATCATCTAATCATAGGCAAAGAATATACTCTCTACTTTTCGCTCATTGTTCATCAGAATTGTCCTTTAACTTTATTGTTCTTGATTCATCTCGAGGTCACTAAGCTCGAGGTATATACTGCTTAAGTAACACTGGTTTGATTCACTTATTTCTTTCATCTATACTTTATACTTCTTGATTATTAATTGGTATTGAACTAAATCACATATCTTTAAAACCACAAATCAAATTTAATTGTTACTAGTATTTTCGAGGTAAACACAAATCTTAAAAATATAGAGAAGTAATATATATTTTATAAACTAATCAAGGTGCAAACTAGCTGGCCTTAACGCTATTCTCGCTATAAATAAATCAAAAGTAAGATAACTCATGCTTCTCATCTTTAAAACTAAGCATGAATTTGAATTGTCCACGCCGCGATTCTTCCCATCCACTCCTAATTAGCTCAAAGTTCATTAAATACACTTCGCAATAGTTACTGGTTTCTGCCATTTCTTCTGTGCTATTTCATGTTAAATGTACCATTATCATGTTGAACAATTCTCATCTTTTGAATTTTGCCAAGTTAAAAAGTCCTTCGATGTTGATTCGTGGATTTCAAATATTCTTCATATACATTTTTTTCTCTTTTTACGTCACTCAACTCCATCAGGAGGATTAATAGTGTTTTCACTTACCTTGTTGCATGACTCAAATCCTCAACCTACATTGTTCGTACACTAAATTTTAATTTTAGGCATGTAAAATGTTAGTGTTTACCCTTAAAATGGATAACAATTAAATTTGTACACGGTTTTAAGGATATTGGATTGATTCACCACAAATAATCAAGAATATTAGGTAAATGAGTTAAAGACAAAACGAATAATCAAACTAAATGTAATGTTAGGGCCCAGCTCAAACTTAGGTCGAACAGTGGTCCTGCCCTCGATCAGACCTTTGGTTCGAGACCAATCATGAATAAAGAACAAACAATGAAGTTATGAACTTTATAATAGAAAGCAGAAAAATGAATTTGTATTGCCTTGGTTTGCGTGTTACAATATGTCCTCAAAGAAAGAAAAACCTCCCCTTTGTATAGTAGGAGAGTTTCATCCCCAGTACAAGTCTAAAAAGGGTAAAAAAAACCTCATTTCTTGTTAATTACTGATCTGCAACCGACATGGGGCGAGATCTACGCCGTGATATCCAATTAGGTACGGATATTACGGCCCTCTGTTACTCGTGCATAACCGTTTGCCATATTTCCCAAGATCTTAGAGTTTGTTTTTGGATCTGGGCAGCATTGCTTTATCACGCCCGACGATGAGCATGTCGTTCACCTTTCATGGGTCTCGGTACGAAAGCTCCTAGGCTCGATTTAAACCTCGCGTGTCCATGCCTTTGTTCCGTTTTTGCATACGAAAAATCGGGATATGCATTGTCCCCAATTTTATCCGTATACAGATAGTCCCCTCATTTTTCGGAGAGTAGGTTAGCCGAAACGGCGGAAACGAATAGATGAACCCCGATTTCTTCATTCATACGCCATAACTGAGATGACGGGTAAATCGAAACCTCCCATCAGTCGTGTCGTTCTGACTTCGGACACGTGTCGTCTATCGGTTGGCTGTCTTCGAAGGTGAAACGTCACATATTGATTGCATTTCCCCCTATAAAAGCTTCAGCCCTCTTCACTTTTCCACTTTCCTTTTCTAGACTTTACCTTTGAATATTTTAATTCTTCAAATCTTCATATGTTGTTCATTGAGCCTTCATATCTTCATCTTCATACTTCTTCTTTGAACCTTCATCCCATATCTTCACACTTCCATACCACCTTCAAATCTCTATATTTTTCCTCATACATGTATTTTCCAGATTATAATGGCTAAAATTTCTAAGTCACTGCCTCAGCAAGTCGTCCCTTCATCTTCCCACCCAGTCGCAGATGCCGAGGTGGCCGTTCCCAAAGTGGCTCAGGAGCCCCCCATTAAGAGCTTCATACCTAGGGGCTGCTTTATCGGGGATGACTTCAAGGTCGAGAAGGACTATTCAACAGGACCGGGGCGAGGGAGTTGGAGATACATATGCCCCGTCACTGAAAATACCCTTCCCATGGTCCGAGAGGATTGCAAGTGGGAAGGTAAAGACGTGATCGTTCCCGGGCCTAGTGACGATATTACTACCCACGTGGAGGGGTATTTAAGTGTTTGTACTTACCCCTTTAAGCTAGGCCCGGTGGACCCCGTAATCATGGCTTTTCGCAAAAAGTACGAGGTGTGTCTCGGGCAAATCCACTCGTCCTTCTGGAGTATTGTGATCCTCTTACGCTATTTTATGAACAACACCGAATCTCCTTGGTTCACCCTAGACCACCTACTCTGACTGTACAGTCCCCAAATTTTCCGAGGGAGCTCATTCACCGAGCAAGCAAGGCCCCTTTCTCGAGCATCGACGAGGATCGAGATCGAGGCTGGTAGGGGCGTTTTATTCCAATAAAACCGAAGACCTGATCCCTCCCGAATTTCTGCCGTTACCTGAGAAGTGGAACGTATCTCGTAAGTGTCGTCTTTCTTAAGTATTAACTTCTTTTAATTCCTTCTCTCATTGCCTATATTTATGGTCGTGCAACTGTTGCACGAGTTCCTGATGCAATCCCCCGATTCAAGGAGTGGATTGAAAGGATCTATAGGCAAATGTCGTACTCTGAGCGCACATGGCGCAAACTTTCGAAGGGCAAGTGGGAGGCTCGTTCTCATGGTAAGGCTCTTCCCCGAATAGTTATCACTACGCCCCCAACTTACATAATGCTAACCTTATCTTTTCTCTCACAGGTCTACCTAAGACCACCGAACTTAGGTTGCTGGATGAGGACGAGGATACGTCCTTACCTGCCGAGCCCTCTGTTTCGGGACAGCCCGGGGCCGCTGCGGGGTAGGAGAAGATGAGGAAAAGAACATCCTCGGGTTCCCCGGATCCTGAGGTGAAGAGGAAGAAGAGTGCGGCCACCCAGGTCCGGAAGCCCAAGAAGAATACCAATTCCAGGGTACCAGACCCTGACTTTATCTACCGGTTCAGGGATGAGCCCGAAGAAGATGACATCTTCGTTGCCCATGAATCGACCCCTATTGGGGAGCAGGCGACGACCAAGGAGGTTGATTGAGTCAAAGCCTGCACTACTATTGAGTAGCGAGGATGGTCGATGCAGTTTTACCCATCAAGGTCGAGATCGAATCCACAAGGAGTTAATTTGTTTGGAGTTAGATTTATATCCGAGTCTAGATGCGGGTTTTGCTCTTAATTACACTTTCACACATGGTTGGTTTGTTTTATACTTCTACTTCTAATCTATAGCTGCAATAGTTAAAACTAAGTACAATGTATTTTATGTTGATTTTCAAGGGTTTAAAGGGACTAGGGTAGTGACATCCACCTAGGTGGATAGCTAATAGGTAGCAAGAATCTAGGGCAATCATGTGATTAATTGGGATCGTAATATAGCTATCACAATCGGGTACTCACTCTATACCTCTCGGTAGTTTGAGTGATTTTGCCCAACTTCGCTTTCTCAAGTCCAAATGGGTATTCATGCAATACAAGTGATAATTAGCTCAAGTCGGGTATTACTATCTCTAGGTTTAACCCTTTAATTAGGGCTATCAATTTTTTGAGTTCACCCCAATTCCTTGTTAGCCTAGTTTTCCTAGACTTAGTCCCTCTTTTTCAAGTAGAGACTAAGTCATAAAGGCATAAATCAGTATTTGCAACCACTAATTCAATAGTTCTAGCAAGAACTAGGCTAAATATTACTAACTCATACACATTCAAGCCCTAAAATTCAAGACCCATCAAATACCCACACTAGGGTTGGGTCACAACCCTAGCTATGGGTTTAGCTACTCATGGAAATAGCAAAAATCAAAGATGAAATAAAGATAAAATCCATAATACTAGATTAAAAGATGAAAAGCTAATGTTAAAAGTTGAATCTAATACAAAATTGCCCAAAACAGAAAATCTGGCCGTCTCACGTGCTCAGCAAAACAAAC